AGAGTTTAACCATCTAGTTAGCCATCTCAGGATAGCATGTGTTGCTTTTCTGCCTGTACCATCACACAGGCTCTTCTTCAATCCTGGGTTAAGGAAGATGGATAAGACTAAATACTCCACCGAGCAAATAGTTTAAAGGTGCGTTTCTTTGAACAAATGCAATTTTGCCTTTCAGCTGGATAAAGGGTATTTGTCTGACCAGAGGGCTGCTTCTGAAAATGGGAAAAACCCCTACCCCATATATGCAGCTGTGGATGACAAAACTTTTAGCAAATTAGCTGAAAACTCTGCAGGTAAATTATGCAAAATTTATGATAAGTTTATATATTGTAAATTAATATCAGTCAGGTAAATCACCTTTAATCTCGGCTTTATGCAAGTTGTCTGAGTAATAGATATGTGCAGGCCATCTATCGAGCTAGCTAAAACCCATAATCTTGATATTGTGAAGCAGTTCTTGACAGACAGGCAGACAGACTTCTCAGGGTTTTTATGGCATTTTCAATAATATTTTTAGTATTTTTATTATGTTTATGTAGGATAGAAATATAGTGGTTGGTGCCATAGTTTTTAATTATACTTTGTTCCACACATGTAATCTGTGCCATGTATGTTTGCGTTGTGTGTGTCATGATGTGCGTGGGGAGTTGTTGCAACATGTATTTTTGCATGAATAATTATGCTGACAGAAGAGCACCACATTCTTCTGAAATGTTATCAAGGCCACATACAAAAACAAGCTTCCCTCACTTTATGCGGGTTCTGTATGTGCAAATTCGCTCTTATAGTTTCATAGTTGCTAGGGTCGGAAGGGACCTGAGCAGATCATCAAGTCCAACTCCTCACTAACACACATGGCTGAGAGATTATATAAGGTGTTAGCTCTGGATGCTCATGCTAAGGTATGGGCATAACTTGCATATTGTGTTCCCTAGGCCTTGTATGAAGTTACAAGGGTTTCCAGGTCTATTTTTATACAGTGATCACAAAAGTTCTATTTATATTATACACGGCCTGTGTCTAGTACCTAAAATGGAATACAAGATCCTCCTACTTCCTGTAAAAATCACTCTGGATGCCTATAAATGTGCAGCAAGGCTGCTCCCATTTGCTGTTATTACATCACATCAGAGCAGACTCAATTATTTGAGTCTGCTGAAGTACGGTAATTACTGGACTCCAGCGGACTCCAGCAATGTGTGTATCAGTATCCCTATGTTGAAAAATGGTAGCTGGGGTGTTTTAACTAAAGCATGTTTGAGCTTTAAAGCACCCAAGCCACCATTTTTCAGTGTTGGGATGCTGATACATATGACACTGTGGGCACTTCAATTAGAAAGGCTCTGAGAGCAGCTCTAATTAAAGTGCCACCTCCCCCACTCCTCAACTCCTGGAGCACATCTATGAATGCCCTCTTTTTCTTGTACATTCTACCTTTTATCACATATATTTTAGAGCATCCAGTACCAGCTTTATAAATGAACCTTGTTGTAAGGAGATATAGCTTTCAGGGGCTGAAAGCACAGCTGCAGATGGGTAGTAGTTCATAAGCTACCTGGCTGGAAGGCTAGGATCCAGCTCCAACTGATGATGAGTAGATGAGGGTAAAGCCACAGAGAAGGTTGAATGTTCCAAAAGAATACAAAGGGAGAGAGAAAAAGCTGTGGTGCTGAGAGAGAAGCAGAAAGCCTGGGTTGCCCTCTCAGGCTGGATTCAAACATGCAGACACCTATGGTTTGTGGTGCTGCAAACCCCTCTGCATGCCATAAACTACACGAGCTGCACCTTAATCAGCGTGCAGTGCCAGGGCAATATTTGCTATTGGGATTTCCCAGTAGCAAAACAATCCAACCTGGGGAAAAGCAGCATATACCATGCAAATGTGGCAGGCCCTAGGACACACGCAGAGATGGGGGAGCAGGCAGCCCATGACTGCCTGCTCTCTTGTCTCCGCATGCTGTGGAACCTCTGTGCTATGGCACTCTGCACCCCAGCCAGGTGGAGAGAAGCTGGCTGGCGTGCAGGGTGCTTCAAGACAGGGGAGCAGGCAGTCCTGGGCTGTGTATCCCCTGCACTGAGGCACATGGA